ATATTAGCTGCGACATATGAATCAAGATGCTATGACTGAAAAAATTTGATTGATTGTTGATATATGATTAGGTGGATTTAGGTGTTCAGGCTGACGTAGAACTAACTGGCCTGCAGAAGATAACGAAACAGAAAAAAAAACATATTTTCATTTTTTTTAAATTGAAATTTTCTAAATTTTGGGACAATATGGTCTGATAAAGAGTACATTTATATACATGTTTAAGCCCGAATGATTTGACATTTAAATATGACTTCCCTACAACTTTAAACCATTAGTCTATGTCTGTACCTGCATTAGGTGAGTCACTAATTCCTCACATAGGAGCAAAACTCACTTAAACCATTAAGTTCTGATAGACGGAATTTGGCTGGAATGTAAACCAGTCAGAACACATCCTGCAGCTTCAACGAAAGGAGCATAAGATCATAACATTTACTTCAACTCATCTTAAAGTCTGATACTTAAATTTTTTTTTTTATTGTTGTTCAACATAAAACATAAGCTGCTGGACACCTTTTCCCCTGACCTGATAAGTACAGGTAATTTACCGTCTGTGTCGTTTATAGTTAAAGTATCTATATATTTCTGTGTGACATTATTTTTTTATGTTTTATGCTTTTGGCTCACACTCCATCATCTTGCCAGCTTCTCACACGATCACACCAAACATGCCGACAGCTCTCTCTCTGCCTCGCCCATTACTGTTGCCTTTCTGTATTGTGGTATGATAATTCCCCCGTTAGTCTCTGTGACAACACGTCTAAAAGGCTCTTTAAGAGACCTGACTGTAATTGTGGTTCAGAACTCCCCACCTCTTGCACAACAACAAGCTAAAGTCCTATGACTCTCTAGCACTGGTGGAAATAAACTCACATGCACATACTCACGCATGAATGGCAGAACAATAAAATGCTTATTTACCATCAGTCATACCAATGACTAGAAAATAATCAGCATGTTAAGGTAATAAAACACCTCTGAGCATCTGAATCTTATAGCAGTTCATCTAATGCTAAATGAAGATCCAGAAAGTCCATGTGGAATTTTGTATTAATCCTAATACCTCCAGTCGGCAAGGACACCGTCAGGCCAAGCATGGTGGTGCCTGGGGGGTCGCAGAGGCAAATACTATAGCAGGGGAATAGTTTGGAGAGACAATAGAGAAAGACTATCGGTTGGCCTCAAACTGCTACTGGTAAACCATCCGATGCATCTGGAGGGGGAAGCACTGCCATGTTAAAAATGTTCAAAGAGGGAGCTGCAGACCTTGACTTGTACATTCTAAGACAGTGGAAGGAATACTTTTATGATCTCCTCAACCCAGACGTGTCTTCCCTGGTGGAAGTAGACTGATGCTCTGAGCCAGTCCATTCATCACCCAGGCGGAAGTCAACAAGGTGATAAAAAACTTCGGAGGTGGCAAGGCTTCCCGGGTAGGGTTTGTGCCTGGAGTACCTTTGTTTTATTGATGTTGTAGGGCTGATGTGGTTAACATGCCTCCTCAATGTTCTGTGTGCAATGGGGATACGACTAATGGACTGACAGACTGAGGTGAAGGTTCCTCTTCATAAGAAGGGGACTGGGGTCTGTGGGACTTCCCTGGGAAGTCAATATGTATTATGAAGATCTGGGGGACTTTCATATTCCTCACGGTGCCATGTGTGCACCAGTGACAGAGGGCAGCCCTGGCTGAGTCCAACATTCATCAGTGTGTAAACCCTTCTCGGTAAAGACCTAAAGATTTCCATGGGAGTCCTAAAGTTTTCACTTGACTGGAGACCTTAGTCTGTAAAAAGGGGCTTTCTAAATTGCCAGGGCACTAAATGTTCTAACTTCCACATTTGGTCAAATTAAGAATATACTTTTTAAAATTAAAAGTTTTTGTTTAAATTTTCCTTTATCTTTTTTACCACCTGAATCCAGTCCTGCTTTGTCAAGTGCCAGCAGTGCTTTTTAAGGCTTCTACCAGGAATCGTCCATGTCTGATGGTCAGCCTGACCGCTCTAAAGAAGACGCACTGCCACCATGTGTCCTCAAGCAAATAACCTCTGTGTAGCTAAGGTGTTTTGTCAGTGGATGCTAATGATCTAAAATCATTCATGTTAAAGGTCGGTATGATTGATACCTAAATCCTCACCTGCTCCTCAGAAATGGCCACCTTGTTCTTAAATAGGATCCACTCCACAGTCTCGCTGCATGGGGGGGTGGTCAGGGATCCGTTGTAGATGAAGTATTTCTCGGTGGAGTTGGGCAGGAGACCTTGCAGGGTAAACGGCGATACCTCTGCACTCTTTCCTAGACGGTGAATTAAATGAATGATTAAAGGAAAGCGAAAGCAGTGACAAGACAGAGAATAACGTGAGAAAACAGACAGAAGACGCTACAGTACCATATCTGCTCACACTGTTGATGCCATCGATGATGGGAGCGTAGTTCATGTTCTCTTCACCGCTTGTCTGTTTAAAAAAGATAATCTGAATAAACCATTTTTACTGATTTAATCCTCATAGCTCTACATTTATACAGAAATAATACAATGTAAAATCATGCATTACATTTCCTTGTATAACTCACAAACTTAAAACTACTACACCACCCTTTCTAGCAGTATCTGTTGCAGTCATGTCAGAAATATTTCCAATCTTTGAAAATCAGATGTGATTATTAACAAAAGCAGTTTCTCTACATTTAAATCTTGCGATGTGTTTATGAAGCTGATCGAACTGCTGAGAAGGTAAGTAGTCTAACATGCTAATCCTACTCAGTAAATGTCTTTGTGGATAAACTTTGGGATCCACACATAGGTGGAGAAAAAAGATTCAAAGTCAACGTTAAAGGATCAACATTAATCCAGACAGTTTGAGCTGCACCATGAGCTGCAGTTTGATGACGCTCATTGTGTAACGGATGAAACACGAATACCTCTGACAGACTGTAGACAACATAGTTCCTCTTACCACTGTTCCCTAAACACCAGAGACACAAGAAGTTGTCATCTTCCCCACCTAACATCTCTGCAGCTCCTCTAGCGTCACCTTGGAAATTTAAACTATTCTAGAGGTCTGCTCTACCTGTTTTGAACCTTTGTCTTGTTGATGCTGTTTGTTAACTGAGATTATCTCTTAGACCCAGAGGCAGACTGTTCATTTAGTTCGAGCTGCCAGCTGAGAAGCATCAAGACAAAAAAAGAAAACAAAAAAATTGTTTCCAGGTATTATGAACTTTAGGGGGAAGTATCATTCAAATAATTAAAAGGAACCACACAACACAGCTAAGAAATGTCTCTAAAGAGTCAAAGACAGTGTAAAGAAGCTAATAAACTAAGCTAGCAAAGGGAGTCACATTAAAAGGGATGCAGGGGCGGAGTTAGATGCCAGGGGTGGCCATGGCCACCCTTAGCCAGTCATTGGCCACCCCTGTGGCCACCCCTACCATTTTTCCCCCTGTAATACAGACGGTGGCAGCAGTAATACTCTCAAATGGAATATTCAAAACATTAAAATGTTTTATATATTAACAATTACTAGACAACAAAAACTTTGTTGTTAATTATGCACATTTATATACTAACATTAAAGATAATAAGAACAGAATTCATGCTTTTTTTCAGAACTAGACTTTGTTATTTGGGGAAGAGATGTTTGCCCCAGAGCTCAAACCTGACAAGGACCAGCTAAGGACCAGCCAAAAACCAGCCAGGGACCGGCCAGGTACCGGCCAAGGACCAGCCAAGGATCAGCCAGGTACCGGCCAAGGACCAGCCAAGGACCGGCCAAGGACCAGCCAAGGACCAGCTAAGGACCAGCCAAGGACCAGCCAGGGACCGGCCAAGGACCAGCCAAGGATCAGCCAGGTACCGGCCAAGGACCAGCCAGGGACCAGCCAAGGACCAGCCAGGTACCAGCCAAGGACCAGCCAAGGACCGGCCAAGGACCAGCCAAGGACCAGCCAAGGACCGGCCAAGGACCGGCTAAGAAAAAGCCAAGGACCGGCCAAGGATCAGCCAAGGCCCAGACAAGGACCAGCCAAGGACCAGCCAGGGACCAGCCAAGGACCGGCCAAGGATCAGCCAAGGACCAGACAAGGACCAGCCAAGGACCAGGCAGGGACCGGCCAAACACCAGCCAAGGACCAGCCAGGGACCAGCCAAGGCCCAGACAAGGACCAACCAAGGAACTGCCAAGAACCAGCCAAGGCCCAGACAAGGACCAGCCAAGGACCGGCTAAGAAAAAGCCAAGGACCGGCCAAGGATTAGCCAAGGCCCAGACAAGGACCAGCCAAGGACCAGCCAGGGACCAGCCAGGGACCAGCCAAGGACCGGCCAAGGATCAGCCAAGGCCCAGACAAGGACCAGCCAAGGACCAGCCAAGGACCAGCCAGGGACCAGCCAGGGACCGGCCAAGGACCGGCCAAGAACCAGCCAAGGCCCAGACAAGGACCAGCCAAGGCCCAGACAAGGACCAGCCAAGAACCAGCCAAGGACCAGCCAAGGACCAGCCAGGGACCAGCCAAGAACCAACCAAGGACTGGCCAAGGACCAGCTAAGGACCAGCCATGGACCAGCCAGGGACCAGCCAAGGACCAGCCAGGGACTGGCCAAGGACCAGCTAAGGACCAGCCATGGACCAGCCAGGGACCAGCCAAGGACCAGCCAGG